GGGACCTAGCTGTAAGTTAACTCAATAACTCAAACAAAAACACAGCTTGGCCACAAGGTCAACCATAATTCCTGGAAGAAATGAAAGTAAGAGTTTAAAAAAAATCATATAAGTGAAATGAGATCTTTAGAGGAAAGAGATTTAGAGGAAAGAGGAGATTAAAAAGGAGGTACAAAACCTCACCCAGTATCAGATTCCCTGAAAATGTGAATCTACCAGACAAAATTCCATGGGACGGCAAGTAATACTAGAATCAAAGTGATATTCCTAGAGTATAGGTCGGTTCCTGTACTCAATAAACTCCAGTGGTTCTATATTACTTCTGGGATTCAGTATTAACATCTCTATTTGATATCTGAAACTCTCCGCAGCCTGGCCCCAGACTGCTTTTCTAACTTTATGGTACATTTTCTGTTCTGAACCCACTGTGGTCCAACTAAACAGACCTCATTGCTTTTCCTCATCTATCTCATTCCATATGCTGTCTTTGAGCATTTGCCCCCATACCTGGAATTAACTTCATCCTCACCTCCACCTCTTAGGATTCCAAAATTCAGCTCAAGTACCACTTTCTCCATGAGACCTTTTTGTTTTGTTTTTTATTTATTTTTATTTTTTTATTAATTTATTTTAATTTATCAACAATCACTTCCATAAGCTTTTGAGTTTTAAATTTTTCTCCCCCTCCCTCCTAACCTCCCTCCCCAAGATGGTGAGCAATCTAATATAGGCTATACATATACATTCCTATTAAACTTATTTTCACATTAGTAAGAATTAGATTCTTATTAGATTCTAAGTAAGAATTAGAACAAATAGGAAGAACCACCAGAAAGAGGAAACAAAACACAACAGAAGAAAAAAACAGCAAATAGTATGTTTTGATCTGCATTCAAACTCCATAGTTATTTCTTTGGATGTGGATAGCATGTTCCATCATGAGGCTTTTGGAGATGTCTTAGATCCTTGTATTGCTGAGAGGGGTTAAGTCTATCAAAGTTGGTCATCACTCAATGTGGCTGTTACTGTGCACAACATTCTCCTGGTTCTTCTCACTTCACTCAGCATCAAACCATACAAGTCTTTCCAGGTTTATCTGAAGTCTGCCTGTTCATCATTTTTTATAGCACAATATTCCATTACATTCATGTATCACATTCACAATTATGATTACTACCTGTGTCTTTCTCTCTATCTTTTCCTCTCCTTACCCCCCCTTTATGCTTTTCTTTCTCCTTTCTCCTTTTCCTTCCTCACTGATGTTTTGCTTTTGACTACCACCTCCCTCAGTCCCACCTCCCTTCTATCCCCCCTCCCTTTCCTTTCCCCTTTTCCCTCCTACTGCCTATAGGGCATGTTAGATTTCTATGCCTGATTATGTTATTCCCTTCTGGAGCCAAATGTGATGAGAGTGAGGTTCAAACAATGCTCATCTCCCTCCCTTCTTTCCCTCTGCTGTAATAGGATTTTGTGCCTTTTCCTGTGATGTAATTTACCCTTGTCTGCCTCCTCCTTTCCTTTGCTCTCAGTACATTTTCTTAGATCAGATTAATTCACTTACTTGGATTCATTTAACCAACTTGATTAGATTTTATTCATCATTATATCAAAGTCAATTTATACCTACCCCCTTTACATATACCCCATTAACATGGTGTAATAACAATACAGTTCTCAAGAGTTACAAGTGTCATCTTCCCTTATAGGGATGTAAACAGTTTGCCCTTATTAACAACATATTGTATCTTTCTTTCCCATTTACCTTTTCATGTCTCTCTTGAGTCTTGTATTTGAAGATCAAATTTTCTGTTGAGCTCTGGTCTTTTTATCAGGAAGGTATGGAAGTCCCCTATTTCATTGAATATCCATCTCCTCCCCTGAAAGAGCATACTCATTTTCACTGGGTAGTTGATTCTTGGTTGCAATCCAAGCTCCTTTGCCTTACGGAATATCATATTCCGTGCCCTATGGTCTTTTAATGTAGAAGCTGCAAGGTCCTGTGTAATCCTGACTGTGGTTCCATGATATTTAAATTGTTTCTTTCTCGCTGCTTGCAGTATTTTCTCTTTGACCTGGCAATTTTGGAATTTGGCTACAATATTCCTTGGCATTTTCAATTTGGGATCTCTTTCAGGAGGTGATTCGTGGATTCTTTCTATGGCTATTTTACCCTCTGGTTCTAGGACCTCAGGGCAGTTTTCCTTGATGATTTCCTGAAAGATGCTGTCTAGGCTCTTTTTTTTCATCGTGATTTTCAGGTAGACCAATAATTTTTAAATTGTCTTTCCTGGATCTATTTTCCAGGTCAGTTGTTTTACCAATGAGGTATTATACGTTTTCATCTATTTTTTCGTTCTTTTGTTTTTGTTTGACTGATTCTTGCTCTCTCGTAGAGTCATTAGTTTCCATTTGCTCAATTCTAATTTTTAATACATTGTTTTCTTCTGTTAGATTTTGTACTTCCTTCCCCATTTGGTCAATTTTATTTTTTAGGAACTTATGTTTTTTCAGTGTACTTTTTCTCCAGTTGGTCAATTGTATTTTTTAAGGACTTGTTTTCTACAGTTAATTTTTGTCCTTCCTTTTCCAAGCTATTGACTCTTTCTTGCATACCTCTCATTTCTTTTTCCATTTTTTCTTCTACCTCTCTCATCCGACTTTTAAAATCCTTCTTGAGCTCTTCTAAGAAGGCTTTTTGGGCTTCAGACCAGTTCATATTCCCTTTTGAGGTTCCAAATGTGGGTTTGTTGACAATGTTGTCCTCTTCAGAATTTCTGCCTTGATCTTCACTCCTCCCATAATAAGAATCTACCGTAGGTTTCTTTTTGCTCATGGTGTTTGCTTATTTCCTGGCCTTTAAAGAGATTGGGCTCTCCTGCTGGGAAGCAGAGGGCACTGACCCAAACAAAAGTGCCTTCCCCTTCTAATTATTCCTATTTATGCTGCATAGAACTTGCTTTGTGTATATTTGTTTCCATATTATCTCCCCAGTTAGATTGCCTTGAGGGCAGGGATTGTCTCTTGCCTTTCTTTGTATACCCAGGACTTTGCTCAGCGCCTGGCAAAGAGTAGGAATTTAATAACTTTTTATTGATTGATTGTTCTGTTTAGAACTGGGTTACAGTTACAACAGAGGTTATACTAAGAAAGGTTTGGGGTTCCACGTACACAAAAGTTTTCCTGATTTCTTTCTTTATCATGGCCGCAGGTACCTTTCCCTCTTCTCGGATTGTTAACTTCCTTTTATATGGTGTCTTTCCTCATTAGAATGTAAGCTCCTTGAGAACAGGAACCGTCTCTCTCTCTCTCTCTCTCTCTCTGCTTATATTTGTATCCCCAACGCTTAGCACTATTGGCACAAAGGAAGCACTTAATAATTGTTTGTCAAGTTGACTTGATTTTCTTCTAACAACCAACTAAGATGTATTTTGAAAGAGAAGCTTTGGTGGTCATCCAGGACAATCCCCTTATTTTACAAATGGGGAAACTGAGGCCTGAGACATTTAAGTGACTTGCTGGATGGAGGTCACATAGGTATGAAGTAGCAGAGCTGGGATTTTAACCTAGGTTCCCCTGGTTCCAAACCATCCCTCATCTCTAGGGCACTGTGCTGCCCCTACTAGGTTGAGTGACCTGCTGTCAGGAATGGGACTGGCCTCTGCAGGAGTTAAGATAAGAAAGGACTTTATAGAACACGTAGCCCGTGTTTTATAGATGGAGGCTTAAAAGATCACACGGGCTGCATCAGGAGTGACATATGAGTGCTGTGGCTCCTTTCAGCTCTAACATTTTGGTCCTATGTTCTTTTCCCTGTTTTCCTGACTCATGTGTCTCCCTCTAAAAACAGATATGACAAAGACCTTGCTCTTGAGGTGTTTGCAAGCCAGGCTACGTTTCCCTTAGGCCAGGGCTTTCAGATCAGGATTCATGTCATCTTCCTGAGTATATCTACCTCCACATCTCTACCTTCAGAATGAGGGCTTCCTTGAGGGCAAAAGCACGTCCCCATCTCAGGGAGACAGTAGAGCGTTGTAGAAAGATCGATAGATTGGAAGTCAATAAGCATTTATTAGGCACCTACTATGTACCAGGCACTGTGCTAAATGCTAGAGATACAGAGAAAGGCAAAAGACAGGCACTTCCCAAGGAGCTCGTAGTCTAATGGATGAGATAACATGCAAATGTATAAATAAGATACATACAGAATAAACTGGAGAAAATACGAGGAGGCACTAGCATTAGCCAGAAATCATGGGTTCGTAGTGCAACTCTGTAAGATCTTAGACAAGTCACTTGCCTGTTTCCCCATTCTCCCGACCCCTCCTTTTCCCGCCCAGCTCCATTCATTCTTTTCCAAAGGTCCCCTTATGGGGCGTGATTTTATGAAACCACGCCCCCATCTCGCCTTTTCCCTCCGGGGATTGGTTCCTGTTAGAGCTCTCCACTCCCACCTTGTGTGACGCACGGCGCCGTTCAGTGGTGGGGCCAAGAGTAGGAGGGAGTATTCGACCTGTGGGGCGGGGTCTGGGAACTCGGCCAGGAGCTGGGCCAGGCGCGCAGGCGCAATGTGGAGCGGAGGGCGGGGCGCGAGGTGAGGCCTAGGGGAGGGGGTGGGAAGGAAGGAGGGAGGAAGAAGAGCCGGAAGTGGGAGGCGGGGGCTGTAGCTGCCAGGGAAACCGGGGAGTAGAGCAGCGGCAGCGACGGCGGCGGCTGGGTTGGGCTGATGGGTGGACGCTGAGGCGGCTAGGCAGCCAGGGGCGGGAAGCAGCGGGAGCCGGCCCGGGGACGCCAACATTCGCCTCCCCGCCCTCCCAGTGCACTCAGCCGCCGGGGGGCTACCGGCCCAACCGCCCACCGGGCCGTGAGGAGCCGCGCGCGCGGCCTTCCTTGCCGGCGCCGCCAGGGGGCGCCCGCCGCAGGGGCTCGGGGGAAACCTTCCCCCCGGCTCTTGGGGGCCGGGGCCGGAGCTGGGCCGGGCTTGGCCCGGCGGGGGCAGTGTCTGGGGTACCTGCGACCCCCCTCCCCCGGCCTCGGGGCTCGCAGGTGGGCTCGGGGAGCGGGTCTCCTCCTTCCTCCCCGGGCAGAGGTCTCGGGGGCGCGTGGCCATGACGGGCAAGTCGGTGAGGGACGTGGATCGCTACCAGGCTGTCCTGGCCAGCCTGCTGCTGGAAGAGGAGAACAAGTTCTGTGCGGACTGCCAGGCCAAAGGTAACCCCTGGGTAGGACCACCTGCCCTGCTCCCAGGCCCCCGGGACCTCTCCGAGGCCCTGGTGAGGGCAGGCCGAGAGGGCGAGCTCCCTGAGGGCAGGGACCTTGGCTTAGCCGAACTTCACCTCTCCGCCCCGAAGCCTGGGATGCAGCTCTGTACAGTGATTGTTTAATAAATGTTGGTCGAATGAATGAATGAAGCAACCCTCCAGTCTCTTCTGACCTCTCACCAGAGAGAGAGAGAGAGAGAGAGAGAGAGAGAAGTAAGCAGGCTCTCTGCAGCCCAGCAACCTTGTACAGATGGATGGAGATTGGGTGCATGTGTGTTTTGTGTTCAAAGATTAGATCATAGGAGAGCATAGATAGAGAACTGGAAAGGACTTAGAGTAATTATTGTGGCTGCTGAGTGCTGTTAAGAATGGCCACTGAGCTGGACCCTGACCATGGTGACCAAGGTTGGACGACTTTTCAGCCACCCGGTTGCCTTGTGCAGTTGGGCAATATCTTTATGCAGTGACACACTGCAGATTTCTTGGTACTTACTGGTACTTCACCCTCTTCAGGATGGTGGAGTGTGTGAGAGCCTGGTGTGGGGGTTGGCAGCAACAAACGGGTTCAGGCTGTAGTGCAGGCTCCATTTGGTGGATAAAGGTAATGGGGAGACAGAGAAATAACATTGGGTTTGCTTCGTGGTGTTTGCAGGGCCAAGCTCGGTGAAATGCTGTTATTGTAAAATGGCCCAGCAGTGCCAGCATCCAGCGTCCATTTGACAACGACCCTCAAAGACTGAGCTTGAGCAGTTGATTGGAATATAAATGAGGGTGTTTGGCCTAAAAAATACGCAGCAACTTGCTTGGCTGTTGACACATTTGTGGCTGCAAGGTCTTAGGGGTGAATAGTTTTCGTTTCCTCTTTTTGCTGAATACTTGATAAACATAGGAGTTATGGAAATATGCTTGGTTGGGGTTGGGGGAGGGGGTGGTCCTCTGTTTTTAATGTATTTTCCTGAAATTGGGCCCAGTGGCCCCATCAGTTTCTCAGGATGTTCTGTATTTATGGATGCTCTTTGTCAGTGGATGTAGTACCTTTCTACATGAGGATAAACCAAAGACCTAAATGTATTTGTTCTTTTTGGGGGGGGGGCGCATGAGGAGGGGAAGGGGGAAGCAGACACGTGTTTTTTGTTTGTTTCTTGTTTGTTTTCATGTGAATAGATGGAGAGAGAGATGCTCTGTCTTTTTCTTGTCCCTCATAGAAAGTGAAACAATTAGTTTGTCTTGGTGAACTCTGGCTCAATGGGAAGGTGGGTAAGCCATAAAACAGACTTTATTTGAAAAATTACTTGGGGTTAATTTGTTAAAGTAGGTTCTTGTTAATGAGTTTCTTCTGTCTGTTAGAATTTCCCTGCAGCTAGGGGAGGTGCGTTGGCTTTGCTCAGTTCCCCATTCTGAGTCATAGTGGGGCCACCCACAGGAAAGGACTATTGCTGGGATGGAGGAATTGGATGCCATTTCCATGATAAGACCCATTTCTCATCATAGGATCACATAGCCTGAGCTGGAAGGGACATCAGAGGCCATGTAATATGATCCCATTTGAAAGGAGGAAGCAGGCCAAGGGAGGCTAGATGAGTAGCCCAAGGTCACACTAGCAGTCAGCATCAGAGGTGAATTTTGAACCCAGGTCCTCTGACTCCAAAGCTTTTGTTCTTATCACTCTACCACACTTCCTCTTGGATTTATATCCTAGCCCTATCAAAGCTAGTGATTACCTTGGGCTCACTGTCACTGTCCATTTCCTCTAAAATGGAGGGGCTGGGATGCTCTCTAAGGTCTAAATCTTTTGATTCTCTCTTAAGCTGAAGCCAGTTGTGAAGAGTTTTACCAGGCTTTCCGGGCTGATTACACGATTCTCCTTTAATGAGCTCTGGCTCCAGCCAAACTGGTGTCCTTGCTGTTCCCTATACAGGATGGTCCATTTCCTGCTGACATGCCTACCTTTCCACAGTCTGTTACCCTGGTCTGAGATGTTCTCCCTCCTTCTTTCCATCTCTTGCAGCTCCTAGCTCTCTTCAGTGCTTAACTCTAATGCCACATCCTTCAAGGGGCTTTTTCTGATTTCCCCTCTTGGTAGTGGCCCTCTCCCCATCATTGTGTATTTATTTTGCTAATATTCTGTATTTACTTACCTGTGAATATATTGTAGGCCTCTCTGTAGAATGTAAGATCCTTGATGGTAGGAATCAGTTCATTTTGGTAACTGTGTCTCTAGTGCCTCACACAGTAATAGGAGCATAGTAGTTGTTTAATAATTGTTGTCTCTAACAACTGGTCATCCAGCTTGAATAATAATAATAATAATGACAGCTGGCGTTTAGCTCTTATTGTGCTAAGCACTTTACAAATACTGATCCTTATTTGAATGAATGAAATCATTTGATCTTCAACAACCTTGGGATGTCAGTTATGATCCCTATTTTACAGTTGAGGAAACTGAAGCAAACAGAGGTTAAGTGACTTACTTAGGGTCATACAGCTAGTAAGAATCTGAGGCTAGATTTGACCTCAGCCCTTCCTGACTCCAGATCCAGCAGTGACTGACAGGGAGCTCACTGCCTTTACAGACATTCCACTTTGGTACCCCTTTAATTGCTAGGTTGAGCTGATCTCTACCTCCCTGTGACTCTTTCCTTTACAAAAGGCAGTTGCCTTTTGTGAAGAAGAGAACATATCTAATATGTCTTTTCAGGTCAATCCTTCAGATATTGCAAAAGAGCAATCATTTTCCCCGTGTCCCTTATGATATGAGAGCAAAGCTTTTTTTTGTGCCATGGACCCCTTTGGCAGTTTGAAGCTTATGCATCTCTTTTCAGATTATGTTTTAAAATCATGGAAAGGAGTGCTAAATTTCAGTTAGAGGTTAGATAAAATGAAGATGTATGTATATTTTTCCCATCTCATTTTCCCATGAATGCCCTAACTTCTATCTACAGACCTCAGGTTAAGAACCCTTACGCAAAGTTTTATTCACTGCTCTTATTCATCTCCCCCCACCAAAAAAAAATACAAACCTCTCTGATAGGCTTTTGTATAGCTACCGATCAGCTACTGGAACTAATTACCTCATTCTAAATGAAAGTTAGTAACTTTGCTGGCTAAAAAAATTCACTTAATATTGTTGTCTTTATAACCTGTGGTTCCTAGAAAGGGCAATTTTCATAGTTTGGCAGTGCAGGATGCAGCTGACATGTTCTTTTGAGGAGAGGGAGTCGCTGTTGCAAATTACTGCCGGCTTTGGTCAGTTAATAAGAATTTATTGAGCCCTCAGATTATCTAGCCTGTGAATTAATGTATTTGGGCCTCCTCTCCATATATTTCCCCTTGGCCATTTTTGTATTTCACTACCACATAATAGAACAGGGGCAAGTAAAGAACACCTTTATTAGCAGTTTTGGTTACTTGTTAGGTTGGCCTGGTAAAACGTTTAGTAGAGGTGGAGTTTTACAACCCTTGGACTGAAATAAAGATGTTTTAGCTCATTTCCTTTGTGATCATAGATAATTAAGAATTTCACAGAATCTGATGAATGATTGGAAATGAGGGCATTAAGACTGGAGGGGGAATAAAATAGCCCTGAATCACGAATGGGCAGGACTTTTTTGTATTGCTCCAAAATATTTCCTCACCATAGATAGATTCCTTTTTCATTTTTATACTTTGGTTCTGCACTGTTGTCTCTTTATTTATTTGGCTCTTTAGAAATTTGACCTGAAATACACAAATAACAGAATCATTGGAATGGAATGGAATGATCTGCCCCTTCAGAGTTAGCTGTTTACTTGGTCTTGGAGTGTTTTACCACAGGGTCCATTAAATTTCCTGCTACTCCAAGCTACTGTAATTATTCTTCTGTGGGAATGGAACTAGTCATTTAAACCCTTGCTAAGACCTAAAGATATTTTCCTCTAGACCCTTAGGTTAATGGTCCCTCCTGGGAGTTTATTGCAACAGAGGTAATTAGGGACAGAGGACATATGATGGTGTATGATGGCAGCATGTTATGGTGTAAATAATACTGAACTTGAATCAGAGGATCCGGGCTCTATTCTCTTCCAGCTCTTCTTCTTACTACCCATATGACCTATGGGGCCCCATTTTCCTAATCTGTAAAAGAGGGCATTGAACTAGATGACCTCAGAGGTCTCTGCCAGCTCTAAATCTATGCTCCTATTAATCTGAAGGAAATGTAAAATTGGTCCCAGCCATTGCATTTTTCTTTACTTTTCCTAAGCCTCTGGTAGCTGATTGGAGAACTGGACAGCTGTAATGGCAGCATCCTCTAATATGAGGGAAGGCAGATTGGTTAGCCAGGCCCTGTTGCTAAAAAAGAAGAGTGATGCTTATAACAAGTTTAGTAACATTGCTGTTCTTAGCATGGGCTGGTAAAAAAGAAAGAAAGAAAGAAATATATGCAATGTTGACTAAACCTTGTTTCTTGGCTATGGATTGAATCGCCAAGTTGTTTCACTCACCTTAGTTTTGAAAATGCATTCCCCCTCCCCCTTTTCCAAAAGTACTGTATGTGGTTACAGGGAGCCTGGGCTACCACGACTCACCCCATAAATCCTTAGGCTTTGCAGCTGAAACCGTTTCCTGTGTATGGTGATTCTAGCATTTCTGCAAATGTGCTCACTCTGAGCTCATGTGGCTGGTTCTGGATGTCTCTTATCCTCCCAAGCTAATTGAAAAATGTTAATGAAAAATATTTTGTCACCTTAAATGGCAGATTGCATTATAGGGTTATTGCGCAAACAGAATACTTCAATAAAAAGTGAAATTCTCTTTAAAGATCTGTTTCTAGAGAAAGACCAACTGGTACAAAGTGTGTTCATCCTGGGTTCTGTGACGTTCAGGTTGTAATGACTGAAAACTCTAGTCACTGGCAGGTTTCTGTTTTGACCATGTGCAAGATGGTTAGATAAAGATCTAGAGAGTTTGGCC